AAAAAAAAAAAAAGTAAGTTTGGGCTCACAGAAAGTTTCAAAAATAGTTTATGTAGGATCTGTGTTCAATCTTTCCTGCCTCAATCTTCCTACTTTATATGACTGTAGAATATAGTAAACATTGATTCAGTCTACAGACCTTGCCATATTTCACCAGGTTTTATATGCACTCATTTGTCTGTATGTAGTTATGTGTGTGAGAGTGTGTGTACAGGCCTTGCTGTTATCATTTTATTACTTGTGTAAATTTCTGTGCCCACTGCTATAGTAAAGATAAAAAAAAACTCTGTTACAACCAAGGAATTCTCATATGCTTTCTCGCTAGTCTTTCCCATCCTAACTGCAAACAAGTACTAATCTTCTCCATCTTTATAATTTTGTAATTTCAAGAATGTTATGTACAAATGTCTTAAGCCATCTTGTGCTGCTATAACAGGCTATCACAGACTGAGTATTAAAGACAGAGATTTATTTTTTCATGGTCTTGGAAGGACCATGGAAGGAAGTCTGAGATTAAGGTGCTAGCATCTGGTGAGGACTTGCTTTCTTCAGAACAAAGAATAGTAAGAAAGGGATCATGTACCCCACACACTCATGAAAAGGGAGCCAAACTTGGCCTTTTATAAGGAACCCACTCCCACATTACGAATTCTCTCGTATAATAACTATTTATTCAGGAGGGCAGATACCTCAGAGCTTAATTACTTCTTAAAGGACCTACTTTGTGTGTGATGTGTGGGTGTGTGTGCACATGCACACATGCAGGCCAGACCTGAAGCTTGATCTCAAGACCTGAGTACTGTCCCTGACCTTGTACTCAAGGCTAGCCATCTACCACTTGAGTCATGGGATTACTTCTGGATTTGGGGTAGTTTATTGGACATAAAGAGTTTCATGGACTTTCCTGCCTGGGCTGGCTTCCAGCTATGATCCACAGATCTTAGTCTCTTGAGTAGCTAGGATTGTACAAGTAAGCCACCAGTGCCTGACTATTCCTTTTTTTGGGGGGGGAGAAGCAGTGGGCAGTCCTGGGACTTAAACTCTGGGCCTAGGCAATGACTCTGAGCTGCTTTTGTTCAAGGCTAATGCTACCACTTGAGCCATAGTGCCACTTCTGGCTTATTTGAGTGCTTTCTTGGAGATAAAAGTCTCGTGGACTTTCCTGCCCCAGCTGGCTTCAAATCTCTCTCCTCAGATGTCAGCCTTCTAACTAGCTGGGATTACAGGCCTGAGCTACTAGCAGGTTCCTACTTCTTAATACTGTAACAATGACAATTAAGTTTCCAACAGAGGAATTTTGGAGGATACATTCACACCAACATGTATTCAATTAGTATGGAATCTTTTAAGATGTGCCTTTTTTCTGTCCATGTTGTTATTTATTTCTATTGCTGAGCAACATTTTATAGATGACCCATAATTTGTTTAGTCTTTCTCCCCTAGAAGGACATTTGTGTTGTTTCTAGCTCTTTGTTTTTACAAATAAAGCTGTTATGAGCCTTCGTAGATAGTTTTTGCCGATAGTGGGGTTTGAAGCCTGATTACGGTCTTCCCATTAGCTTGCTTGCCTGGTCCTTATGCAGAGCAATTTCATTATACATCAGTGTAGAAACAGAAAGGCTTGGTGGTGAGAATATCTATAACCAGTTTAAAATCAGCAGTCTTATTGTACAAATGCAAGGGAAAAATACCCAGTAGTCAAAAAATGCGTATTTCTGGGATATTTGATCTACTCCTGTGATTATAATGGTTATTTAAGCACGGTTTTATGTTCAGGATTACTTTTTTCTTTTCGTTGTCTTAATATTAAGTTACAGTATAAGTTGTATTTATAGCATTTGGTTTCAGATTTTTTTTTGGCCAGTAGTGGGCCTTGAACTCTGACATTTAAATGTAATTCTCAGATCTCAGCCTCCTGAGCAGCTAGGATTACAGGTGTGAGCCACCCGTGCTTAGTAATTTGATTTCAGTTCAGAACATTGTTTACAAGTTTGTTTGTTTGTTTGTTTAATGGGAAAGAAAACAAGAAACTTAGCCAAAAGTGAGGGCTTTTCTCTCACCCAACCCTCTGAACAACTGTTACCTGTAACTACTTACCTTCTCCCTCTCCTGCCCTCCTTCACTGCTAGTCCTCTCTTTTTGATGTACATGAATTGAAGAAAATGTGGGAATGGACATAAAGAAAATCAAACCCTTTTGATCCCACCATCAATGAGTAAAACAATGAATAAATTACCCTTTTGAGCTTTAGTGCCTATGGATTGTGGCTTTTTCTCTATGTAAAATGGGTTACATTATTATTCTATGTTATTATTAGTGGTTCTCAGACTGTTAATATCACCTGTAATACTTAAAGTATGCAGAGAGACTCTGAGATATACCTTATACTTAACCAAGTCAGAATCAGAGTCAGGGCTATAGCTGAGAGGATGTTACTATTTTTTTTTAAAGCTCCTCTTTGGAAATTTTTAATAACCTATTTGGAAAGTAGAGATTGCAACTTGAGGCCAGCCTGGGGAAAAATTGAGATTTCATCTCAACAAGTCGGGCATGGTGGTACATGCCTGTAATCCCAGCTATGTGGCAGACTATAGATTGGAAGCATGGTCTATGGGCAGCTGTGAATGAAAACATGAGACCTTATCTAAAAAATAACTATTAAAAGGACATGACCTACCAGGGGCATGACCTACTTGGTGGAACACCTGCCCAGCAAGTGCAAGGCCAACTTCGCGCCCTAGTACGATCGACAAACAAGAAAAGAGAATTTTTAATAACCTGCAGAGGTGGCTTTCCTTTTTTTTTAATTGTGAAAATACCATACAGAGGGGTTACAATTACATGGCCAAGATACATTTCTTATCAAGCACTGTTGCCTCCTCCTTTGGTTTTTTCTTTTTTTGTTTGTTTGTTTGTTTTGGGTCCGGGTCGTGGGGCCTGAACTCTGGGCCTGGGTGCTGTCCCTCAGCTCTTCAGCTCAAGGCTAGCGCTCTAGCGCTTGAGCCACAGTGCCACTTTCGGGGTTTTTTTTTTTTTCCTTTTTGCTTATGTGGTGCTGAGGAATCGAACCCAGGGCCTCAGGCATGCAAGGCAAGTGCTCTACCACTGAGCCACCTTTCCAGCCCCTGCCTCCTCCTTTGTTTCCCCTTTCCATCCCTTCCCATCTGCCCCCGCCCTCCGTTTTCCTTTTTATTTTTATTTATTGTGTAAGTTCTAGGGTTTGAACTTAAGGCCTCAGGTTTGCTACATGGAAAAAAAAAGACAGTTGAAGTGCTTGATTATCCCTAGCACTACAAAAAAGAAAATGGAAAAGTTAAGTAGTATGTGTACTGGTATACTGATCTTTATCTAATTTCTCAATTTTAACTCTTTCCTAGCCATTCCATCCCATGGTGAATCTGGATTGCTCCCGGGATTTCCGGCCATTTCTTTGTGCACTCTATGCTCCTATTTGTATGGAATATGGACGCGTCACACTTCCCTGCCGCAGGCTGTGTCAGCGGGCCTACAGCGAGTGCTCAAAGCTCATGGAGATGTTTGGTGTCCCTTGGCCTGAAGATATGGAATGCAGTAGGTAGGAAAACCAGACTTTCATGGGTCATTTCATATGCCGCAGTGTATTTGAAAATTCTTGTCTTCCTCATCCACTTTAAAAAGCTGTCTTGAGACTAATTTTGTATGTATTAGTCATTCACTTTTAATAGCATTTTCATATTCTCAGAATTATATTTTGGAAGAATTGAGTGAAAAAGGTAGATTTTTTTTCATGAAGATACTTTAAAAATTAAGAATTATGTAATCAAAACATTCCATTGTTTTTGTCCCTTTAACGTAGGTTATAGGAGTAATACTATTTATGAAAAATTAGAAATTCAAAGAAGAAAATAATTGTTGAGGTAATCATTGATTACATGTGCAAATGACTGAAGTTGTGGTGTCATTCTTCATTTCTATGCTATATCTACACGCAAAATTCTGTGCTCTTCTCTCCCTCTCTCTCCCTCTCTCCCCTTCTCTCTCCCTCTCTCCCCTTCTCTCTCCCTCTCTCCCCTTCTCTTTCCCTCTCTCCCTCTTCTTTTTCCTTTTCTCCCTCTCCTTCCTCCCTCTCCCTCCCTCCCTTCCTTCCTCCCCTCCATCTCTCCTGTTTCTCCTGTCTCTCCCTTCCCTCCCCTCTCCCCTCTATCCCCTCCCCTTCCCTCCCCTCCCCTCCTCTCCTCTCCTCTCCTGTCTCTCCTCTCCTCTTCCCCCTCCCCGCCCCCCAGCTTCATTCCTGCAAGAATGAGCCACTGGTGCTCCACTCTAGCCCTGCTTTTCACTGGTTGTTTTGGGATAGCATCTTGCTTCCCACCTAGGTGCATGTCCAGACTATGATCCACCTAATTTAGATTTACCATTGTTAATGGTAAGGCTCATTCTACTGCTTACAGCTTCTCTCTTACAAACTTTTCTGCCCAGGCTGGTCTGGAATCACAGATTTAACATCAGCCTCCCATGTAGTTTTGGAACGACAGTCTCAACCACTACTTAGCTATGTACTGAAAAGGGGTCTTTAAATTTTTCTTCCCTAACTGGTCTTGAACCTCAATCCTCCAAATTTTAGCCTCCAAAATAGTTAGGATTATAGATGTTAGTGGCTGGTCCATTTTTTCCTCATCTTAAAAAGTAATTTTGCTGACAGTATCTGGTTGAAGAATGTTGTGTTCTCACATGGCTGAAAGGCCTGAGAGTATAGGGGTGTGTATTCTGTCTTTGAAGCCTTTTTTATCAGGATGTGCCTTCAAAGCTTATTCACTTCCCTGCTTATCTGTTTCATATTAACACATTGGGATTAACTTTCAACACATGATTCAGACTATAGCACCCACTCTTCAACTTTATGGACCATCTCAGACTTTTGATCTTTTTTTCCTCTTTTTTTGGGGAGGGGGTAGGAGGGTCAATTGTAGTCTTGAACTCACATCCTGGGTGTTGTTCCTGAGCTCTTTTTTTTTTTCTGAGCTCTTTTGCTAAAGGCTAGCACTCTACCACTTTGAGCCACAGTGCCATTTATGGTTTTCTGGTGGTTAATTGGAGATGAGTCTCACAGACTTTCTTACCTGGGCTGGCTTTGAACCTCAATCCTCAGATCTCAGCCTCCTGAGTAGCTAGGATTGCAGACGTGATCCACCGACTCTGGGCTTTTTGATCTTTTTTTTACCTCAATAGCCTCTTCCCTGATCACATTTATTTCTTTATGAAATGTCAGCTTCGTTGTCATGTGGAAAAAAAAAAAGATTAGCAAGTTCAACTTACTCTTTTTTTTTTTTTCCAGTCCTGAGGCTTGAACTCAGGGGCTGGGCACTGTCTCTGAGCTTCTTTTGCTCAAGGCTAGTGCTCTACTACTTGACCCACAGTGCCACTTCTGGCTTCTTCTGTTTCTGTGGTACTGAGGAATTGAATGAACCCAGGGCTTCATGCATGATAGGCAAGCACTCTATCATTAAGCCACATTCTCAGCCCCAACTCATTCTTTTCACTAAATGTGTTCAGATTTTAAATGTACTGATCTAACCAACTTCTTCAAATTAATTATGCTGTATATTAATGATTCTCAAACAATAGTGATCCTTTGTTATTTGTAACTACTTGTCTTGGTGAGGGAAATTTCTGTTTGTTTCTCAGCACTGTTGCAAAATCTGCACTATTGACTTTACACTTAACATCCTAGCCTGCTCTCCTTATGGGTAAAAACCCTCATACAGGTGCTTCTATGATCTGCTGTAGTTCTGGCTAGTCTTTCTTGGTTTCCTTCTTGGATCTTCCCACTCTCTGACCCTTGTGTAATGATGCTTCCCAGAGTTGAGAGTTCTGTGATCCTAACAGTTTTCCCTAGAGTCTCATCTCACTGATTTTAACTATTATTTATGTACTGATGACTCTCAACCCAAATCTGTAGCCTTGTCTCCATCTTAAACTCCAAAATTATATAGTCATCAGCCATTGGAAATCCAGGCCTGAATTTGTTGCCAGCACATTAGTTTCAACACCTCTGAAATGGATTCCTTTGTTTTTCTTTATTCCTTGGCAGTCGTATTCTATTCTTCCTTGACCTCAATCCCTGCGTTCAGTCAGTGGTGTTCTGTTGCTTTTATCCAACAACTTTCATATCTGCCTTTTTTATAAGTATTTGTTTTTAAATTTTATTATGTTCCAACTTATCCCTTGCCTCCATTTTCCCCAGCTCAGATCTGTCTTCTGCATTGCTCATATTTATCTTTTTGATTATCTAGGTTAGAGTATATGAATATATTTCATGTTCATTAGTGCAACAAATGTTAGTTGAATGGCTGTAGTGTTAGACACTTTTACATGCTGAAATATGCAGTGAGCAAAATAGGGTCTCTGTTCTTAAGAAGCTAGGATCCTTGTAATGGTTATAAAGGGAGGAAGATAACAAACAGGTAGATAATGTCACAGTTAGTATTCATCACTATAAAAAAGACCTCAGAAAACAAGGTATAAGGGATGATTTAATTGCTCCTAGTTTCAGAGGTTACACCTCAAGGCCAGCTGGCTCTGTGCTTCATGGCTATGGTAAAGTAGAATGCAGTGGAGGGAAGGTGGCTCAATGGTAGAGTGCTTGCCTCACATGCATGAGGCCCTGGGTTCGATTCCTCAGCACCACATAAACAGAAAAAACCGCAAATGGTGCTGTGGCTCAAGTGGTAGAGTACTAGCATTGAGCTGAAGAACTGAGGGACAACACCCAGGCACAGAGTTCAGGCCCCACAACTGACCAAATAAAAAAAAAAAAAAGAATGCAGTGGAGGGGTATATAGACTTTAATTGCCTTGTGAGTATTATGTTTACAAGTTTGTGACTGCTCCTCTATTCAAAGATAGAGATGTTGGGTTTTTTTTTGGGGGGGTGGGGTGGGAGGAGACAGGGATGTGTCTTTTATCTTCACCCCCTGGCATATTCCAGGATTCCAATAATAATTAAATACAATAAACTTCTGTAGTTTTTTTTCAAGTCCTGTGAAGAAAATGGTTTATATTAGCAAACAAAAAGTTTTGAAGATATTTATCAACTATGGTTATTCATGTATATGGTAACTTAATATCATTTATATTTTCTTTGAAACTAATGCCAGTAAGAGTAAAGGGTTGGTTGCTGGAAGTTGAAAGACTTATAATTTGATATTGGCAAGACAAGTGAACATGAAGGGAATTCTTGAGAATAGAATTCTTTTTTTTGGGGGGGGGGTCCGGTCGTGGGGCCTGAACTCTGGGCCTGGGGCGCTGTCCCTCAGCTCTTCAGCTCAAGGCTAGCGTTCTACCACTTGAACCACAGTGCCACTTCTGGCTTTTTTCTTTTTGCTTATGTGGTGCTGAAGAATCAAACCCAGGGCCTCATGCATGCAAGGCAAGCGCTCTGCCACTGAGCCACCTTCCCAGCCCCGAGAATAGAATTCTTGAGAATTCTTAGTCATGCAAGTATGTCTGCAGCGTAACTTTGTTAACCTTGTCCTGAGGCTTTCTCAAGTCTTTGGATCATTTCCTTTGGAAAACTTGTTGAAATGCACAATTCTAAGCTTTAACATCAACTTTCTGAAATATGATTTGTTGTGGGTCTTACTATGTAATGTAGGCTGACCTGAAACTTGATAGGTAGTTCAAACTGGGCTCAAATCACACTCCTACTACCTACTACTTCTCAAGGGCTGGGTTAACAGGCATGTAAAAATTTACACTTTTAAAATATCCCCACATTTTATATACATCAAAGTTTGAAAATGACTATTAGAGATAAATACAGAAATTAGGGAGAAATCAGGAATGGAAGCGCAAGGTGATATTAAAGAGTTGTAGCCAATGAAATAAGCAGAGGAAGGACTGAAAGTCTAGCCTAGTGGTAAAGAGTACAATGCCGTGAATTTGATTCCCAGCATTGCAAAAAAATAATAATTTAGAATAAATGTGAAATGGAAACAGGTGACCTAAAAACAGAGCTACTTATAAAGATATTTAAAAGATATTAATTCATAGCACCTTGGACCATGCATTTAGGAAAGAGTTCTTACTTTTTTTAATTAGCACACATTACCTTTATGATGTCTCCACACACGTATACGTGTATCCTAGTCATCCCTGCCCTTTGCTGTCACTCTCTTCCTCTCACTCTCCCTTCTTAAGGCACTTTCAACAGGTGCCACTGTTTCATTTTCATTTATGCAAAGAAACTGTATGGACCATATTTGTTCTCATTCACCCCCTTCATTCTCCCTCCCTTTTCCCTAGGAAAGACTTTTAACTCTAGGTTTCAGATTTTTGTTATAGCTCTATACACACATACACACACACTTTATTTTTTTTATTTTTGGGTCTGGTCGTGGGGCTGAACTCTGGGCCTGGGTGCTGTCCCTCAGCTATTCAGCTCAAGGCTAGCGCTCTACCACTTGAGCTATAGCGCCACTTCCGGCTTTTTTCTTTTTGCTTATGTGGTGCTGGGGAATCGAACCCAGGTCCTCATGCATGCAAGACAAGTGCTCTACCACTGAGCCACCTTCCCAGCCCCTATTTTTTTTTTTTAGTGTGTGTGGGGGGTTGTAGGGCTTGAACTCTGGGCCTGGGCGCCGTCCCTGAGCTCTTCAGCTCAAGACAAACACTCTACTACTTGAGCCACAGTGCCACTTCCATTTTTTTCTGGTGGTTAATTGGAGATAAGAGTCTCACAGACTTTCCTACCCCACTGGCTGTGAACCATGATCCTCAGATCTCAGCCTCCTGAGTAGCTAGAATTACAGATGTGAACCACTGGCGCATGGCTATATTTTTGTATTTTGAAATCATATTCTTAAATCATGTGCTTTACATAAATACCCTATATATGCTATTTGTAATTGATGACTGCTTTTGAGTACATTTGAATTAAGAGTTCTTACTGATTATAATGGTAGAACAAAATTAAGTTTAAAACTGTTTTGTTGCCGGGTGCCGGTGACTCACGCCTGTAATCCTAGCTATTCAGGAGGCTGAGATCTGAGGATCACAGTTCAAAGCCTGCTCGGGCAGGAAAGTCCGTGAGACTCTTATCTCCAATAAACCACTAGAAAACTGGAAGTGGTGCTGTGGCTCAAGTGGTAGAGCACTTACTTTGAGCTGAAGAGCTGAGGGATAGTACCCAAGCCCAGTGTTCACACCCCATGACAAACAAAAAGCAAACAAAAAACACTGTTTTGTTGTTGTTCTGTCATCTGTTTAGGTAGCTTATATAGAAAACATCACTGTTTCTTCCCACTTACCCAGTTGCCAGGATGTAGGACTAGACAAGGCCATAGGTGCTAAATTGGGGAGTACAAAGTGTCAGATAGCAGTAGATTGTCCTGTACGTAAAAATGGTTTTCATCTGTGTCTTTTTAGGTTTCCAGATTGCGACGAGCCATATCCTCGACTCGTGGATCTGAATTTAGTTGGAGATCCCACTGAAGGAGCCCCAGTAGCAGTGCAGAGGGACTATGGTTTTTGGTGTCCCCGAGAGTTGAAAATCGACCCTGATCTTGGTTATTCTTTTTTGCACGTGCGGGATTGTTCACCGCCTTGTCCAAATATGTACTTCAGGAGAGAAGAACTGTCGTTTGCACGCTACTTCATAGGATTGATTTCAATCATTTGCCTCTCTGCCACCTTGTTTACTTTTTTAACATTTTTGATTGACGTCACAAGATTCCGTTATCCTGAAAGGCCTATTATATTTTATGCCGTCTGCTATATGATGGTATCATTAATTTTCTTCATTGGGTTTTTGCTTGAGGATCGAGTAGCCTGCAATGCATCTATCCCTGCCCAGTATAAGGCTTCCACAGTGACACAAGGATCTCATAATAAAGCCTGTACCATGCTTTTCATGGTACTCTATTTTTTCACTATGGCTGGCAGTGTATGGTGGGTAATTCTTACCATCACATGGTTTTTAGCAGCTGTGCCAAAGTGGGGTAGTGAAGCAATTGAGAAGAAAGCATTGCTGTTTCACGCCAGTGCATGGGGCATTCCTGGAACACTGACTATCATCCTTTTAGCGATGAATAAAATTGAAGGTGACAATATTAGTGGCGTGTGTTTTGTTGGCCTCTACGATGTTGATGCATTAAGATACTTTGTTCTTGCTCCCCTCTGCCTGTATGTGGTAGTTGGGGTTTCTCTCCTCTTAGCCGGCATTATTTCCCTAAACAGGGTACGGATTGAGATTCCCTTAGAAAAGGAGAACCAAGATAAATTAGTGAAGTTTATGATCCGGATTGGTGTTTTCAGCATTCTTTATCTCGTGCCACTCTTGGTTGTAATTGGATGCTACTTTTATGAGCAAGCTTACCGTGGCATCTGGGAAACAACTTGGATACAAGAACGCTGCAGAGAATATCACATTCCATGTCCATATCAGGTAAGGGAAACCTCCTTATCAATTTCAGAATGTGGCATACTGAAAAGAAGGCATGTTACTGTAAAGGGTAATGTTAACTGCTTTTGAGCTGTAAACTTACACATTAAAATTTTCAAGTGAAGATAATTGACAAATACACTTTAAGTATATATTTGTTTGTACAGATATTTTAAATGATGATTTGTAAGTCATAAAGCAAAGCTATGGACTTCCAAGCAATTTATTTCTATTAGCACTAAGCAAAGTTTATCGATTGTTGGAAAGTTGAGGTTTGTAGGGGGAAACACTGCATCAACTCTGACTTTAAGCAAGGCACTGTTTTTTGTGGAAATTTTCCTGATGGTTGGATTAAGAATTTATTTGAAAGAGAGTCTCAAGTTCTTAAAAATCTCATTCAAAGCTTAGAAATATTGAGTGACTTGTTCATGCTGAGTAAATAACCAGCTGGGTTCAGTCTTAGAAGAGTAGTGTAGTCAAGGAAATTTTTTGGAGGTGTTTGTGTTACATACTTATCTCGCTCATCTTAACCCTTCTCTAGAACCTATGCCTCTTGCCATTAGCCTCCCTTCTTCATTTTTAAACAAATTGTTAAACAAGTTGTTTTTTTTTAAGCAATCTAAGTTGGTTTCTTCTGTTCATCATTATCAAATGATATTTACCATTCTCCTAGTGTTTTACACTGTTAGGAGTATTTAGCTATAAAACTTGATATTTTTCAAGCTTAAACAGTATAGGATAAAAAAATTAAACAAGTGGGAAAATTTCATTCTGTAATTCACTTTTTACACTTGATGGATTCATTGATTGATTGATTGCAGTACTGGAAATTGAACTTGAAACTCTCAGGTAAGCACTCTGCCACTAAGAACTGTGTTCTTAGGCTTTAGCTCTTTTATATTCATATCATCCTTCTATTTGAATAAGAATTTTTGTAGATTGGTCATCAAAACATGAAATTACTGCATGTAGGAAACAGATGTCAAATGGTTGGTTTCATTTACATTCACACTAGAATATGTTCCTCCCTCTTCTCCCCATTGTGATGCTCTTAGGCATTTGAGTTTTGCCTAAAGCTCAGTTTAGTTTAGTATCAGTTCTTCAGTGACTTGTGTTTCCCTTGTTAATAATAAGATTGAGAATATTTACATACATCTGTTGACTGCTCTGCCTTTTCCGCTTTTTTTTTTTTTTTGCCAGTCCTGGGGCTTGAACTGGGGACCTGAGTTCTGTCCCAATCTTCTTTTGCTCAAGGCTAGCACTCTACCACTTGAGCCACCTCTGGCCTTTTGTTTATGTAGTACTGAGGAATTGAAACCAGGACTTCATGCATGACAGGCAAGCATTCTATCACTAAGCCACATTCCCAACCCCTCTTTTGCTTATTTTTACCTTTGTCCATTGCTGTAGGTTATTTGCTTTCTGTTGCTTAGTAAACAAACTCAGTAGTCTTTCTTAGTTATTTTCATTGTAGATATCTTCTCTGTAGCATGTATTTTCACTTTATTTGTGCTTTGTTGTCTTACATGTTTCATAGAACTTTTCCTGTCACTAAAGTCCTAAAAGTGGTCTGCCAGATTTTTCTGCAGGTTTTGCAATTTTCTTTTTGATGCATATCCTTGACATTCATTTTCTATATCAACAAACCACTATTTGTCAGATAGCCTATCTGAAATATAACATATCTGTGTCAGAGATAAGTTTCATTTTAGGGCCTTTTGTTCCTTTGGACCAATTGTTTGGCCATGTGTCAATTCCACATTTCCTCTACTGTGTTTGTCCGATGACACTTTGACCTTTTATGTAAATTTTAAGATCAATTTTTTTATGGAAAAGACTGATAAGATTTTAAATTGAAATTGTTTTTTATTTCTAAATGAGCCTAAGGAAAATTGCCCCCTCTTGCAGTACTGAACCTTGATATCTTTGTTTTTATTTGTACCTAGAACAAAAAAATCGTTTTTTGTTTTTTAACGATTGTGAGTGATATCTTACCTCAGTTGGTATTAAACTGGATGATGTAAAAAAGAAATTCTACTGAAGGATTTAAACAATGATCTTGTGTTAAACATTCTGCTGATTCTTTGTTCTAAAGATGTATAGATTGTCTTACTCTTTGTAGAATCTTGTCTGCAAATTAGAACAGATTTGTCCCTTGCTGGCTTCTAAATTTGTATCATAATAGTTGAAAAGGGTTGAACATCTACTTTAAAATTCTATCCTACTATCCTCAAAATAAGAAGGCAAGTTGGTTTTCTTTTTTTGGGGTCCAGTCGTGGGGCCTGAACTCTGGGTCTGGGGCCTGAACTCTGGGCCCTCGGCTCTTCAGCTCAATGCTAGCACTCTACCACTTGAGCCACAGCGCCAGTTTTGGCTTTTTTCTTTTTGCTTATATGGTGCTGAGGAATCGAACCCAGGGCCTCATGCATGCAAGGCAAGCGCTGTACCACTGAGCCACCTTCCCAGCGGCAAGTTGGTTTTCTAAAACAAGTTTCAATTTCTTTAATTTGCTTTGTTCAGGGTTTCATTCTTAAGGCACTTAAAAAAATTATTGTTTTTTTTTAGAGTTGATATACAGCAGGATTACCTTTACATAAGTACATTTCCTTTTACATAGTGTCATCTGTTCCTTCATTCTCTCCCATTCCCTCCCTCCTCTCTCCACCCACAAGTTGCATAGTTCACTTTCATGAATGACTAGTGCAGCCAATGTGCTTTACTGCTGTACTTCATCTCCATTTTCTTCTGATTCTGTGCCCTCCTGAAGATGTGCACCTGAATGCACTACATATAAGGTAAAGAATATAGAGTCAAATTAAGACAAAAGTCCTTTTTCCCATATCTTTGGAGTTCATTTCAGTATGTATATTATTTTATATACGCATACATTTATATATACATGTACATACAATTTTGTTGTTGATGTTAGTCAGGGACTTGAACTCAGGGCCTGGGCTCTGTCCCTGAGCTCTTTTGCTCAAGGCTAGTGCTCTACCATTTGAGCCACAACTCTACTTCTGATTTTTGAGGGGTTAATTGCAGATAATAGTCTCACAGGGACTTTTTTGACTGGGCTTGCTTTGAGCCATGATCCTCAGATCTCAGCCTCCTGAGTAGCTAGGATTATAGGTGTAAGCCACTGGTACTTAACTATCCCCTCCTTTTTTTTTTTTTTGCATCTAATGTTACTTGTCTATTTTTCTAAATGTTTGACTTGAAAGTTTAACTCATATGCTGTCAATATTTCCTAATTTGTTTAATGTATTTAAGCCAGGTGCTGGTGGCTCATGCCTGTATTCCTAGCTACTCAGGAGGCCAAGTTCTGAGGATCATGGTTCAGGAAAGTCTGTGAGACTCTTGTCTCCAGTTAATCACAGAAAAAGCCGGAAGTGGTGCAGTGGCTTGCACCACTTGAGAGTAGAGTCCTAGCCTTGAACAGAAGGAACCCCAAAACATCACCCAGCCCAGAGCTCAAAAGAAAATAAAAGAAAAAAGTGTTTTAGGCCTAGCTAGATTACATAGCTGCCTCCAAAGTAAATGGAGCAAGCAAGATGGCACATACCTGTAATCCTAGCAATTGAAACCTGGGCAACTTAGGGAAACCTTGTCTCAAAAAATAACGAAACAAAGCTGGGCGCCAGTGGCTCACACCTGTAATCCTAGCTACTCAGGAGGCTGAGATCTGAGGATAGCAGTTCAAAGACAGCCTGGGCAGGAGAGACCGTGAGACTCCTATCTCCAATAAACCACCAGAAAACCGGAAGTGGTGCAAGTGGTAGAGCACTCTCCTTGAGCTGAAGAGCTGAGGGACAGCGCCCAGGCCCAGAGTTCAAGCCCCACAACCGACAAAAATAAGTTCAAATAAAATGAGGGCTAGGAAGGTGGCTCAGTGGTAGAGTGCTTACTTTGCATGCATGAGGCCCTGGGTTCTATTACTCAGCACCACATATGCAGAAAAAGCCAGAAGTGGCGCTGTGGCTCGAGTGTTAGAGCACTATCCTTGAAGAGGAAAGGGACAGTGCCCAGACCCAGAGTTCAGGCCCCATGACCATCTAAAAAATAAATAACAAAACGAAAAACACAAGAGAATAGTTAATTCTGACAAATGAGTAAGATTGCTATTGCTCTGTTATAGTCTGAATTAGTATCTTCAGTTTTTCTAAATACTGATTTTTAAAAGCACATGTTTTCTTTCATAAATTGCCTCATTTTATCATGTTTCTTCTATCTAATCCAGTGCAATATGTTCCAAGAATATTGACAGTAGAACTTTTGTTTCAGTAATAGAAATATGTTACCATAGCACAAGCAGCTTAACTCTGTCAAATTGACATTAGAAACATTTGCAAAATTCTAAAAGAAAAAGAAAAAGAAACATTCTTCCAGCCACACAAGACAACCCATCTGTTTATCCAGTCTTGATTTAGAAGAATACAAAAGTAGCAAAATAATGTGAAAACTGATTTTCTCTGATTTTAGCTTCATTTTTTGATAGGATCACAATTCCAAAAAATCAGATTATGAAAAGATCACGATGTTTCCATCATTACAGACAGTGCATAATTTGTAAGATTAGTGTTTGCTACTAATGTTATAAAGTTGTGGATATCTTGCCTATAGCTTTCTAAGACCAAAGTAATTTCTCCTCAGAATTGTTTAGTTTCTGTTATTGGAATTTCCTGAAAAATTATTCTAAATCGCTTGTAGGAAAAAAATAATAGATTATTAAAGAAATGTAGGATATTGTAGACATTTATTAAAACAGTATTGTCTGTAAAATACTGTCTTGGCAATTTTGGATAAATGAATTGAAACATAAACATTGCAGTATGTGTCCTCTAAAACAATAGCTTAAGCTGTGAATCTAATTTATGCATTAATTGCATAAATACCTGTTGTACAAATGGTTCACTCATTAAAAAATAAATTAAGTATACTTGTCATGATTTACCATGGGTCACAGCAACTTCCTACAAAAATGGCAGATAAGCCGGGCGCTGGTG